AAACCCTAAACGCTAAACCCTAAATCGGTTCTTTCGGTGATCCAACCTTCGTGGCTGGGATGCGATGTTTTAGGTTTGGGTTTAGGGTTTAGGGTTTAGGGTTTGGGGTTTGGGGTTTGGGGTTTAGGGTTTGGGGTTTGGGTTTGTGGTTTAGGGTTTAGGCGGTTTAGGGTTTAGGGTTTGGGATGTGGGGTTTAGGGTTTTGGAGATGACAACACCCCTACAGTAGGGAGATGACGACGCCCCTACAGTGTGGCTGCTGCTTGCCGTTGCGGTAGTTTTGCTTGTGCTGCGAGGCCTCTCGCAACACAGCGCCGGGACCCCGTTTCGATGAAGCTGTGTGAACCCCCAGTGTCCTGTGCGCATACGGAGCATTCCACGCAAGTCCTGCAACCAATCGCCTTACTCGAGGATTGCAAGTTGCAATCAGTTGCCCTCTGACAGTGTGGAGTTTTGCAGCTTTGGCCTGGGTGGGGTTGGTACTTGGATGTCTTGGATGGGCATCTCTTGAGACGGGTTCCTTTCCGTTGTCTCCTTCTGCCTTCGCTTGGATGGTTGCAACTAGTGCCCCGGTGCTTGCATTTGAGTTGCCAAGTCCTCGTGCCCCAACATTGAAGGCCCCGGAAGGACAACTTTGGCTTCCTTAGTTGCCTTCCTTTCTTCTGTACATCATTTTCGGAACGTGAATCGTTTCGGAGTTCCAGCATTGACTTGAGCCAAGACAGGCCATTGACTTCCTGCAGAGGAGGTTTAGCAGGGAGGTCAACCAGTCTTAGACGGATGACTTATGCTGAGTAACAAACATGAAGCTCTTCCGTTCCTGCATGCCCACGACACTCGGCATATCCACAACCTTCGCGGAGGCATTCAGAAAGGGCTGAAAGTGCACATGATACACACTTGCGGCAACATAAATCGCATGCACCAATGCATGATGCGTTGGGTCCGGAACTCGTGTCAGGAAAAGGAGGAAATCGCCGAGTGAGCCTCGTGTATTCTCGGCGAATGGTGAAATCAAAGGTCGTTCACCTGCAATTTGAAAAATGTCAACCTTTGCGATGCAGCGTTGTTGGCTGGATGCCGCTTGCAACTGCACTCCTTGCTGGCGAGCGTTCCAATCTTTGCTTTTTGCGTTTACTGATGCAGCTGCTGTCCGAAGAGCTGCTACTTAGGCGTTGAGAGCTTCTCAGCCCAGCATCCAAGCACAGAAAGCCCATACCGAGCTCTTGGACAACTGCTTGCGTGCCGCATTTCGGAAATGCCGCAGCTGTCCAACCTCTGAACTCCCAAGCCTAAGCGCGCCTGTCGAAGTGTCGAAAATTAAGGTCTCATGCCCCCAAAAAACCCATATAAATAAATATCTGAAAATATGTATGTTAAAATACATAAAAAAGTTATATAGTCCCTATATACCTAAGTAGCCCCTAAATACCACCCCAAGAACCTTTGCCTGGGAGCTGAGGCCTCTGACGTTGAGCTTCCACACCCCGGCGCCCATCGAGGCCGTAGCCCAAGAGCACCCTTGAAACGAAAGAACGAGGAAACAGAGCAATAACATACGGGGTTTCCGAAATTAGGGGTACCTTATTATTTGAGCTCTCTATTTTAAGGGAATCCTACTATTTGGGGGACCATAATAGGGGTGCCTTTTTTTGCGCAAACCCCAAACATGGGAAGAGGAAGGAGGCCGGCCGAGCCTAGCGGAGTCAGACAATGTGCAGGGCTCCAGCAATTTCGTGCAGCTCCGGCATCGACGGGTGATGGAGGTTCACGGTTTGGTTCGACTCCTTGTTGTGCAGTTGTTGCGCAGCGGGGGGGCGGGGGGGGGGGGGGGGGGGGGGGGGGGGGCGGGGGGGCGGGGCAAGACTTGCAAAGCCTGTTCAGACTGGCAAAGCCTGTTCAGAACAGGCTCTGCAATTGGGTCGAAACCACCCTCTAAACCCTAAACCGTCTAAACCCTAAGCCCTAAACCCGGTTTGGGGTTCAGGTCTGCGGTGCGAGGTTGAGGTCGAGTTGGGTCCTTGGGTGGCATGGACTGCAGGCACCGCCCGTGCAATTTCCGCGAGGCGCTGGTGGCCAGGTGCCTGTCTGAGTCGTTTGCCCGAGTCGTTTGTGCAAGTCACTGGGGGGCATATAAGATCTACGATCCGCGCCGGCTTCCGAATCTCTGAGCCCCAGTATCCGTCAACACAGAATTGGCCCAGGAGAGTTGATGAGCACAATGTGGAATGCCATATTCAATCACGCCGCAGGGTGTTGCAGTTGTTGGGGAAAGCTGCGTGAACATCTCGAAGGCAAAGCAGCCGATACGCGGTGGCAGCACAGCACAGGTGGGTGGTGCTGTGTGGGTTGATTGATTTTCGTCGATTACCCATCATTGCGTCGTCAGCAATTGCGGCAGCTCTAGCAGCTTTTATTCAAGCGTGAAGAGCACCCGGGAGTTCAGTCGAGGATCTTCTCAGGTAGCTCAAGAACCCACTTTAGGGCCAATCTTTTTCGG